CACACTTCCTCGGTAGTAAATAGTCCAATCCTAATATGCATTGGTCTTCAATGTCAGCCAAGTATCCTGTTTCCTTTCTTGTTCCAGTTGCCACTGCTGTAACCTCTCTTCTTGTTTCTTTTTCCTCCAACAACTGCTGTAATCTCTCTTGTTTATTGTGCTCTTCGAGCTACCATTGTTGCAGGTTTTCTTGCAACTGCTGTAATCTCTCTTCTTGTTTATTTTGTTGTTCGAGCTGCCACTGTTGCAGGTTTTCCCTACAACTGCTGTTGTTCCTCTTCTTGTTTCTTTTCTCGTTATTCTTGTTTCTTTTGCTGTTCTTGTATTGCTCAACCCAACAGTACGTCTCTATCTCTGTCTGCAGTTCAATTACACTACCTTGTTGCCGTCACTTCTTACCGGTCTTATATATACAAGAATACCGCATATCTAGTAACCTCTCGATACTTCAGGAAAAGACATGACCGTTATAGAAGCGCATGACGTGTTACTAGGGTCACGTGACCTCCGCTGTCGTAACAGTATAATCACTTTTTAAACTGAACACAACAGAAAGATAGAGACGTACTGTTGGGTTGAGCGCGTGTGTCGTTCGTTGTGAATTATAGCGTTTGTTTAAGCTATAGCGTGACCGTGGAAATTAAGTGAATTTCAAAGTTGTATTCAGAAAGAATAAAGCAGTTTTATTTAAGAAAGGACTTGTATCGCTAAAGTTTCTTCGGAAATAATTTTTACGGAAAATTAACTAACGACCAGAAACGTAACAATATTTATAGTTACTTCTGTAAGTTCGAAATCATCTTGTTTGTTTTATGTTCGTTTGATGAGTTACAATGCGATAAAGAATCGTTGTTGTTTACAACAAATCAGTTTAGCCTGATTTCTTGGACGTGTGAAAGCAATGACATTTGTTGGCGCGTGACTTATTAAATATGTCAAGATCCAAACCATTAGGTGCTCAGAAAAACGAGCACAAAGTGTGTGAGCGATAAGATTACAATAATGAAAATCAGAAATGACTTATTAAATGTATCACGATCCAAGCCATCAGATGCCGAGAAAAAGAAGACAAAACTGGAAAGTCTTTAAAGATAATTCAACTATCATTCAAAACGTATTTTAAAAGCTCTTACATAACATTGGTTTCAGTCATCTTTCAGTTAAAATTCTGTCGTTAATATTATGCAATAATAAGAAATTTAAATTGCAGCTAAAAATAATTTTGTATATTTAGTCAAGGATAAAAAATATTGAAGGAATAAAAGTTGTACCATTTTATTTTGAACTTGTACTTGCAAGGTTAAAACTAAACATATACAGAAAGCTTTTTAGTTCAGTTGTAAAATTTTGTGCATTCTTGGTGTTTGTAATTTGTTTATGAAGCTGTCGTATGTATTGTGTCATATGCAATTTTAAAAACAGAATATTAATAAGTGGCTTTAGATTACGTTTACAGTATAGAATACTGAGGATGCTGAAATCTAAAGCTGGCCGCAGTATGAACATCATATTGTTACGTCTCTGGTCGTTTGTTAATTTCCCGTATAATTTCTTTCCGATAAACTTTAGCGACACAAGTCCTTCCTTAAATAAAACTAGTTTATTATTTCTCAATACAACTTTGCAATACACTTAATTTCCACAGTCACTTTAACTTAACACACGCTATAATTCACAACGATTCACGAACTTTACTTACGGTCACTATCCGCTTGATTTAGTTGTCCGTCTCTACCTCTGCCTGTCTGCAATTCCAGTTCCAATTAATTGTCTGGCTTTATTTGGCGCGCTTATATACAGGAATAGAGGGCGTCTAGCAAATACTGGATTATTCGTGACGTTCCCCGATCCTTCTAGATACTCATAACGTGTTACCAGCGTCGCGTGACTTCCGCTGTCGTAACAATACTAAGAAGCATGCACGTCACAAATACACATTATTAGGAAATGTTATGGTAACTATACTAACGACAAAAACGTATGGCATATATAAAAGGTTTTCTATTAAATACTTAACACACACTAAACAAATAATCATAATGTAAATATTTGGAATTAACAAATGATGCAAGCTATGAAACCACAACATATAAACGTTTGCACATAATATGGGTTGATACTATTGGTTTACAGTATGTGGAAAAATCAAACGGAATTACATATTTAGACTAAAACAAGTAATAAACAGATGTTTGTTTCGGATATTCGCACAAAGCTATACAAGGGATATCCTTGATAGCTGTCCCTAATTTTTGAACTTATATGATAGAGGAAAGGCAGCTAATTAACAGCACCTGCAACCAACTCCTGACCTATTCTAAAGGAATTACTGTAATTTGACCGCCATCTTTACAATGCACCCATGGCTCCATAGTGCAGAGTGCAAACTTGCGGCAACAAAACAGTCCGGCAGATGTATGTATAGGCCACACATGACCCGTAATCAAAATAGTAGTGTTACGACAGCGGAAGTCACGTGACCCTGGTAACACGTGATGAGTTTCTACAGGATTTACGAAGAAACGAGATGTACGCTTTTTGTATATATAAGACCGGTAAGAAGTGACGACAACAATGGAATTGAATTGCAGACAGAGATAGAGACGGACAATTGAGACAAGCGCGTGAATCGTTCATTGTGAATTATAGCGTTTGTTTAAGTTAACCGACTGTGGAAATTAAGTGTATTGCAAAGTTGTATTGAGAAATAATAAACTAGTTTTATTTAAGAAAGGACTTATATTGCCAAAGTTTCTTCGGG